GTCCGGGGGTGCGCAAGCGGGGGGGGGGTGGGTGTGGAAAAGGAGCTATGCGTTGAAGGCAATAGCTTTGTCAGCAAACCCTTGCACACCAATCCGATTTTTATTAAATGTTGGGTCAGTAAAAGTAATGGTAGTCCTTTCGGTGATGTTGCTTATGAGGAGCCAAAAAGCACTTAAGGGCGCATTCTTCCGTGCTGCAAATCCACGGATTTCACGTCTCGGGATCCCTAGATCCTTCCCACTTCCATTCAGTGGGTTGAGGAGTAGCAGGGACCACAGGTAACCGATAAGTAGTGTTTCGGGTGTAACTCGTGAGTTTTGAATGGGGTCTTGCCTCCAATGTAGACTTGTTTTCACGCCCGATCGAAATTCAAAACGTTGAAACTTCCTCTGTGCTCGTCAACAATCACCGAGAAGCAATAACCCCCCAAATTCATATGAAGCTAGATCCAAGAATTATGTGTGTATGGTAGCTCACCGGATATAGGACTTACCGGTGAAACTGAGGATTACTGCATCACGTTGGAGATGAATTTAGTTACAGGTCTACTCCAGTCACCTATAGCTTCCTCGTAATTTTGGTTCAATTGGTGTTGAGGCTTCTTTTCAGTCGACTTTACTTAACACCTTAAACTCGGAAATGACGCTGTGAAACCCATAGAAGAATCCCCAGATTTGTAAGCAAAACGGACATCGTCCAGCCTAACAACGCGATTAATTACAGGATAAAGGCAGTTTCATTTTCTTATCGAATCGGATGGATACTTTCGTTGGACTAAAATTGGAACCGAATAGGTAGCAAAATAGAGTTTTTGGCGCTAGGTCATTCGATTAGTGTATGTTTAAAAATGGAACCACAGATTCTCCACACTCAAATGAATCCCGGCTAGGTCTTTCGTTTGCAATATTTTTGCACGGTGAATGGTCCGTGCTTGTTGATTGCACGCATCTATCTGATAAGTTTAGTGAACAAATCTTGTTCGCAAATTCTGGACCGCGGAACGTTTCAGTGTTGTCAACTGTTAATTGCATAGGATAAAATGGTTTGATAATTTGGGAAAAAACTTGCTCCCTTGGATGGATTTCTCCATCATCTTTATTTTTTTATAAAAAGAATCAGAGTTCAACTTGCCTATTTTTTCGCATAGATGTTGTAGTACCTCAGCAAGGACTGCAATGACGATGAGTGTCGGTACTGTCCTCGAATAGGTCAGTTTCTTCTCGACTTCGTGTCCAGATTCATTTTATTCTTTCTCACCGTCAAAAAATCTCACCCCCATCATTTATTTATTTTTGCCACACCGCAGATGTATGCATGGCCTCTATTCCAAACGGTACTCAGTGAATTATTTACACATGAGGAATGGTTACAACTATGGGACACAATTATCTGCTATCCTACCGGGTTTCTGATTGCATGCGTTGCAGCGTATGCTATTTGTGGACGTCGGCTCCTGCTTCCTGTCCAACACGTGGACGCATTTGAAGTGAGTTCTTCCAATTGGTTGGAATTAGGGTTCAAAACTTCGTTTGAAGACTGCATGCTAAACACACTATTGGTCAACAATGTGCTTGGGTTGTTAGTCATTGCTGTGCAAAGGCATCGAGTTGAATGTCCCAGTTTGGTTCTACACTGCATAAACCCCTCACTGAAGATCAGGTGCTATCTTGTCTTGCCACAACGAGGACATTTTTTATGGAGGAGTACACCAACTCAAGCCTTCTCAGTATTTGGCCTTATTGCATCCTACGGTACGGACACATTGGTCGGGCAGCTGACGGCACTTACATGAAAATGAAACCACTTCTAGCTCTGCCGCCGACCCAATTCCGTTTATCGTGATTGCTTTGAAGTTATTTTTTATCCCGAACATTGCTTTTTCAGGCCCACTCTCATGACAGGTTATTTTACAGCATGCATTGTGATTACGTTGCTATCCATCCCAATGGTTTTAATCTAACACAAGATTCAAATGGCATCCCTGTGATTCTCACACACCAACTGGGGCGAGATGGTTTACTGGTTAGAGTGCGGGTTTACTGACCGGAAGGTCTGGTTTTCGAACCCGACCTCCCCCGTTCAGGCTTGGGCAATCTGGCAGTAGCCCAGCCCTCTTGCCTCCTTCGGGTGGCATGACAGCTAGGCACCGAAGGAGTGTTTCTACTGAACGGTCACCCATCAACTATGTAATGTTGACTTTCCCATATCGTTGCGGTCACGGCGGTCCAGTTAATCCGTCATAAACCTTGAACCAAGGGTACTTTTTTTCGGCTGTTACAATTTTGATAGTGAGAAAAACGAAGAATATGGATTGGACAGCCCGGCATTGGCGACAGTCTATCTACTCCACCTCCTCAAATAATCGATGGACGAAGCTGTGGCAGCTACAACCAGTGTACGACCAGTACGCGGTTCTTACAGCTGACAATGATGATGATGGATGATTGGGGGTAGTGGATTAACGGGTTAATTGATGTACATTCATTCAGTTTATTTCAAAGTAGATAGCTGCGCGTAGCGGTAGCAATTTCTGTACTGCAGCGCCTTCATTGATCAATGGGATTTCCACCGGAGTTGTCAGGCTGATTGAAGTTATCTGTTAAGGTTTCGTATTTTCTTTTCATACCGTATACGCCCCGCGTTTCAGTCGTTCCCATTCAACACATTGCTGGGCGAAGGAGCTCCGTCTATCAGACACACGAATCACATGAACCAGCGTTTAATGTGGGGCGTCATTTACTGGTTTGTTGCAGATGAGCTGCTATTTATGAAATTGTCAGGTGTACCTCTCCCTTACTATTTCGATGTTCCCACCAGACCCTGAGCAGTGCACCTTAAACACCGATAGTCAAAGACCCCAGGTCTTCGTGTGCCCTGTGCGCGTAGATGCCACGTCTCCGACTAGTTGACTGAAATAGCAGTGCTGTTCAAGTACTTATCTCAGAGTAAAGATATGGCCAATGTATCATCAACTAGAGAAATGCCCAACTTAGTTCTCACAAGTTAATCTTTTCCGGTAGTCAAACAATTTGTGTCCGAGAATTCTGGTTGCATCTTAGTGCTACCGGTATTACGCAGATGCCACGGTGATTTTTACACGAGTTTCTTGCATACTTTCAGAGGACTGATTCATCGTCGCAACACCTCATTTCGGCGGTGTTCTGTTTTCGTTCCGTATTTTTTCCACTAAGATTGTTGGACTACTCATCGGTGTTTTATCGCCTTCTGTGAAGAATGAAGGTTGAAAGCCTTGCTGAATGCCTTATTGCTACGGAGGAACGATATTCCAAGTTAAATTTCTTTTCGATTGTACAGCCTGTGTCGAATTTCCTACTGTGTTACTTCCAGAGCCCCGTCAAAGAAAGCCCAGCCGCATTGTGCATCACGTTACCCAAGACGCTGACTCTTCCAATGGATTGCTGCTCCATCTTTGTGGAAATCGTCTTGTTGACGCTTTTCTTTTCCCAGCCAGTTAAACAAGTTAGCTGATTTAGGATGCGTTTGTTTATTGCGACAAGGACCTTCTCGATTCGTTAGGTTTTGGGTTCCGTCAATACTGTCTTTATCCGTATAAGCTCTTGAGGTCTTGCTATTTGAGGAATCTGTTTGCGCGGTCTTGTTCGTTAGCTGGTGAAATGTTTTTATGGTATCAAGAAGAGCTGTTGATCCTGACGATAGCCGACGTTCGCCTGGTCCATTCTGATGACCTGGGTAGTCGGTGTTAAAGGCTGGGATTATCACTACCTCCGCTCACTTTAAACCTCACTCTGAATCATCCATCTTATTAATATGTCTGTGAGTTTCCAAGAATTTACACATCACTTCAATATTCTTGGGTTACCAGAAACTATTGGTGATTAACTAAATGGCTCTCTGTCAGTCTGCGTAATGTTTGGGACGAGTGACTTGGTAAGCAAGCTCGCACAGTGTCATAATGTGAATCACTTTGCACTCCCCAAAAGGAACGACGGTTTTTAACCGAAATCCTCCACTAGTCAATGGTGGTCATATAATTCGACTACGGCATTGATTGGTTTGTGGTTTCTGGATGCTTATATTAAAAGCTCACATCGGGCAGGAGCATATGATGTTCAGTATAAAAATAAAGAAGCCACTTTCCACCAAGATTTAGGAGAGCGTTGACTTCAACTGTGGGGCCTAGCCGGGATAATTTTGCCCTTAGTCGTCCCGACGATGGTTTCAACTCACCCACCAAGATGTTGTCTGTTCTTCTAACTGTTCGGGACGGCTGTGACGGATTTCGGTAGCCATCTTCCTCAGCTTCGGAATGCACATTGTTGGAGTGTATGGCGGCTTGACGAAGAGACACCGTTACGCCACATTACGCTGTATCGCACTTAAGTCTAAGTAAATAGAACCAAGTTTTCTCCAGCTTTTAATTTTGAACGCTTTCATTGGAGAGCCAACATTTCTGGGTTCAGTAATTTCTCCTGAATTCAAGGCCTCTGATGAATCTTCCAATTTATCAGAAACTGGTGATTAGTTGGTGCTGCGAAATTTTGAAACAAAAGCAACGTAGAGTATGTTTGTATGTGCATAAAAAACTTTCTAAATTACAAACTGCATCATATAGCTTTAAACTGACGTCCCGCATCAGGACTTCATAAGATTCGTACTGGACTAGGTGACTGCTGTCGGCTAGTTTTTTTCAAAGCACCTACCAACCCATCGAATCCGCCAGTTGTCGCTGGTGTCGAACGCCGCAACACTGTTCACCCACTGGATCCGATGATGCTGCTCGGTCAAGCCATACTTTAATGGCATAGCAATGCTCATCAGGGCCAGAGCTTGTAAGTATAGCATTATATGCAGATTGTCCCAGCAGTTGTGAGCTTCACTGGGCGATATGTTGACCAGTGGGTTCGGTTCAGTAACTGAGTGCGCACGTGGCACGCAAGTAAAAAAGCAAACAACGCACCGCGAACTCCCATCCTGGTCAATCTTATCAGATCCCTAATCGTCAATGCATTGCACAGCTCAATCTTAATCATTCAGTATGTAACACATCCGTTCGCTTCAATACTGCTGAACTTTCAGCAATCAGATACTCGAGAACAAACTGGAAAACCCACAGTTGTGATATGTTGATGAATTCTCACAAATCTAACAAATACCTGAGTTTTCTTTGAGTGCACCAAATTCGCTTCTGCTATTAGTCGAAGAAAGGTCCTTATTTTCGGATGGCTTGCTGATACACGGTGGCGCCTTTTCACCTCTAACTTGTTTGGACGTTGATTGAGCAGATAACTTCCGACGAAATGACTTTTCTTGACAGCAACTAATATCCACATGGTTGCATAGTGTTGTGTTGAATTGAAAATACACTCTAGAAGAGCCATCGCGCTTGTACGTGTCCAACGAGTTCAGAAAACGAACTGCATGAGCCCTTTCGGGTAACCTCAAACCCGTTCTTATTACCACTTACAAAATCTAAATGAGGAGTGAAAATTGTCTTATCTTGGTATCCCCTACATCGGAAGCCTGGTTTTGCAACCGGGAGTGTCATCAGACCATCCGAAAGGTCGGAATAGATCAGCGACCAAAATGCGATACGACAGAACACTTTTTACGCTGGTACACATTATTCGGTGTTTAGGGCTGCTTCTTTTTCATTACTGTGCACAGCATAATTCGGCAGCAATGTATTGATGATTAGCACCCTTTGGTACATAGGTGCCGTACAACTCGGAGGACGCACGAAGTCTCAGATCCCACCAATTGACACAGATCTAGACATAGGCATTCGTAATGTCATGTGACTGCAAGCCATGTGACCTGACAACTCAGGTTATTTCAGAAGTTGGTGCTACTTTAAAATAGTCTATGGTTAGCACGTGACTGAGGCAGTCGTTTGGCATTGTCCGTATATACCGAGTCCAATCCAATTCGACCATCCAGTTGGGCATCTAATTTAGTCTCAGGTGCGCTAAGTCTGCGCACTTGTGGATCCACATTTCTGAAAATCCCCACGATATCCGAGCTTTTACCTCGCTTTGACAGGGTATTCAAAACGTCATAAAAGTTCTCTTTGGTGCTGTCAGAGCTATGGTCTGTTGGAGCATGAGTAGACGACGATCAACTTCCTGCCTGTGAGACCTTTGACGAACGTTGTCAAACGAACCCCACAGGGGCGACCAATAATGGGCATCCGTAAAGCGAGGCTCTTTCCGCCTGATGACTTAGGACGATACCGAACTCTGCACATCTTGAAGTAGCGGTCTCTGGATCGCCACAAGTGCGCAGCCGGAAGCCTGTAGGGAATGATGAGGCATTTAGCCCAGCCACTGTGCTTGCATACATGAATACTAAGTGAGACCTGCATGAGAGCGAGAACAGTTTGTTGTCCTGCTTGCTTCAGGATGCGAATATTAAAAGCGGCCAGTTAGACTGGACGTCGGGGCTTGAAGATTAATGTCGAAATTTCCGAGGCTGTCGGTGCCGGTTGACGGCCAAGACTCATGCGAAACGAATGATGTCGTCAGTCCTAATGGATGGGCCTACAAGTAGCGAGTCATTAATTTAGTGGAGGGAATGCGAGGAAACTTATGTAAGGGGGGATACAAGCGCTAGCAGCAGTCTCATTTTGCTCACTCACATGGTGTATGCCGCTAGTATGACTGCCCGTCTGATGACACAGCGTGATGGCCGGTGTGACACGACGGTTTCCCTAGTTATGGGCTATATGTGGGTTGGGATACTCCTAGGGCACCCAACTCCAGACAGGAGAACGATTCGCGTCCTCGACTTAGATTGTGGCTAAAAATCCAATCCTGACCGCAGTATAGCGGTGTTTGTCTGGAAACGTCAATGCCTTACGTTTTTCATGGAAAAGTTGTTACGTATGTCTCAAGACCCCATCCTTAAGGATCAAGAAACTACGCCAGTCTGATCTCCAACCACTGACCAAACTTGTATGACAGTCCCTGCGAGTTTCGGACGGACACTCCACAGTAAATCTTGGTGGGTCACGTATGCACACAATCCGCCACACTGTGGTAGCGTCCGTTTCTTCATTCCTGAGAAGATACGTTAGTTTGAAATCGATCTCGCTGTAAATGGATTTTCGAAGAAATTATATTGTGCTTCTTTCTCAGGCCTAGCGATGCAAAGCAGGCTATTTCGGTTTATCCGACCTAGACTTCTGTCTCAACTTTAAGAGTAGTACAGTTCACACATGTCCTACTAGACAGGACTAGTTGATGTTTCAGTTGTGCACTGGCGCTTTTCGGGCCCTATATCAGTCCATCTGCTTAAGGTAACAAGGTGGATGACGTGTAGTGGAGAAGAAATTATCTAGCAGGCTCGAATTAAGAGACTTGTCCGTCTCTTCTGTTGTAGGAAGTCGGGAATGATACTGTATTCATCAAGAGAGCGCTAATCTTGTTGATTATTCAACGCTTGAAGTTCTCGTGGGGCCTGAATAACACGGTTCAGCTATTGTCGTCAAAGCTTTCGCGTGTTGTCGCAACCTTCACAGCGGTGTTTCATGTGTATTCCGTATGTAATGATCCATCTTTTTCAACCAATACTTGAAGGACTACCTGATTCTTGCGAAACGCACTCATTTGCACACCAATTTGGCTTCAAGAAGAATATAAAGTCGGCGGAAGATCGGGGTTGTGCTTGCCAAACGAGTCTCAAGAAGGTCGAAACCAGTTGGGGGCTGTCAAAGAGCTTTCAGCAACCTTATGAGTGTTTCTAGTGTTTTCGTATACTGAAAGTCGTTTTTGGGGTATTGGGTATCCGGATACAAACGTTCAACCATCCTTTTATCCGTAAACAGGCCTTCTTTCGTAGTCCAACTACCATACCTGTCAGGACCGTGGTCGATCTTGCACATCAACTCCTGCAACTCTGTTCACCCACCATCCATCCAGATCGCGTATTGGTAAATACCTTGCGCTCGGAGTCTTTCCTCAGTCAGGACTCAAGTATTACTCCTGACGGATTAACGTCAGTTCCCTTCAGACCCCTTACTTCTCCGTACTATCCCATCGTGATCCCACCTTCCGACTTCATCCGGAGACATTCCCATAAGGGAGTAAAGAAAGAAATGGATGAAACCCATCGAACAATGAGGTAGGAAAATCCAACCCTTGTTTTAGACCGTTCTATTTTGTTTCCAAAGTGATATCTATCGCGTGGTCGCATTCATTCGTTATCTGATTCCTAGTAGTGTTCCATCCCTACGTTCCTTCTTGCTAAGGGTTTTATGTATTCAATCAGTGCTATCAAATTCTGGTTCGTGCCAACTCGTTCGGATGTTGCCAGCAAAAATTGGTCAAATCAACAGTGTTGCGTATCATTTGGGTGTATGTTAGTTGTGTGTGAAACAGACTGCTAAGGTTGAGAAATACATTGACTGATATGTGAGAATAATTGAAGTAGGTAAATTGTCTTTCAAAGCTGAATGACGGAAAGGACGAGTAAATTGAATTCCCTAACTTTTGATTGTCGACTCGTTAACCATGGCCTTGTTGGTTTCTCTCGGTATGCACTGACTTCGTAAATTTACTAGATAGAATTCTCGGTTATCATCTCCTCTTTGCGGTAGAATTGCACTCGAATGACTGAACAGAAATTCTTTCAGTGCATAGAATTTTTTCATGTATGCACTGTTTATGTTCACTACGTTTTGAACTACTAACAAGGCTATTCGCTAAAGTCCTTGTGCATAACGGACGTTTTGTTGGAATCGTGCTATGTCGAACTTCACGTTAATAGACGATTCCGCAAAAGAGTGGCTCCACTACTGATGTCGTGAACTGTATTGAACATTTTTATACAGAATGAATCACCTAAACGGATTTGACGGAGAAAAGTGTGACTCTATTTCTTTATTCGCATTAGAAGGGAGATATGTTTCCTGTTGAACGATTTAATTTTCCGTGCAGTTTCCGCGACAACCTGTTGGTTCGGAACTTGACCAAAAGGGTCAGGTTTCATGAAGAAACTCAGAACATCCCCGATTTTCTTCTTGTATCGGGCGCAAGTCATAGCGTGTAATTTGGGTTATTAGCTGCAGGTCCTTATTTATAGAGTGAACCTAGAAGAACTGTAGTGAATTCAGTCATTACTTGCTGACTCCACACTCCGATCTGCAGTATCGCTGTTTGAATACTTCCCGGATGTTGATTCTATGATCCCAACCACTGCGTCGCTCATCAATGAATATAATGAGCTTTCAAAGGTCGTGTGGATGTCAGTTTCTTGCGTGCTAGCCGTGAATTCGGTGCGAAATATTTGGGGGTCTTCCCCCAGTGATTGATCACATTTGTTATATACTGAGAAAGTCCGCACAAGTCATGTTTAAAAGCTGTGTCGTTCTTCATCCCTCTTTTGCACGTGTGATTTACAACAGAAGTTGTCGCGTTTCCCCTCTTTTGTAGTTACCAACTATCATATCCATGTGCACAGAATATTCCATTCTGGTAGTGAACAATTTATCAAGCTCATTCTTGATTCTGGCAGTGTGCATTCACTTACGAATGATGAACTATCGGCATCTCATATCCTGGCGCAATACTCCACCCTTGCAACATTACGATTGCTGGAAGTACTAGATATTCATGGCCCGCTTGTGGATGGTGCAAAATTCCATTCGATGACTCATCCAAACACAATTTTTCGGCATACGAATACCATTCATCAGTCCTTATATCAGTATCCTAGGCCTCCCCGTGATGCAAACTCTTCACGTGAATATAGATCGAGGAGGCCTATCACTTATCGCTCTGCTTCAGTTGGCTACATGTCAATATTACCTATTGAGAGCTACTGGGGATCCTGTTTTTTTTCCTGCCCTGTGGATTGGGATAAAGAATTTAGCTTACCAGCTTCATTACCTGACCGGCGAAGGAAAAATTAATTCCCGTCGAAATGCGTACTACCTTGCGAATGAAAGGTGTTGGCCAAACTCCGCGGAAATTCGCTTTTTACACTCTCTTACAAAAGAAATATGCCAAGAAAAAGGTCTTGGGTGACTGCAAGGATGTCACCTTCACTGGCCAAAGTTTTCCGCAAGTGAATCACAGTGGACATTTGGTATTGGGTCGCTATTCCCCATTTCCATTAGGATTGTCTGGCAAAACATTTTGAATGATATCACGGAAGACACCATTGGAATGGAGGATGATAACGTTCAGGGGTTCGAATGATACCGCATTGTTGATTCTATGTGGACAGTGTCATTTCCCTACTGTTTCAGACCTTCCCAAACATCTTTCTGGTGTTGAGAGCTATCTTACATAGGCAGTTCTGTGGTACTGCCATTGCCAAATGACGTTTCCAAGCCTTCTCTTAGAGGTGGGACGAGTTGTCGGTGGCTGTCGGTTGTCTGTGCTCTCCCAATTATCAAGCTATCATCCGACGCTCAATACAGTTCGAGGAACTATCTGAACTGTATTCTGGGAATCGATAAACTGTGGGCATTGGCAAGACTGATTTGTTGTTTTCCGGATTTGATTCTGTAGTTCACGCGGACCTCAAGCATTCGCCCCCATGCCTTAAACAGCCACATTCATCGTCCAAATGGATCCAGTGGCCTATGATTTGTACATTTCGTGGACATTTTTCGTCTCTTTACAGATGTCATGATTCAGTCATTTGCCAAAAAAACGGAAGAAATTCGCAACAGAACCACGACTGAGTTCGGATAATTTTTGTAACCGCAATTGTGTCCAACGTGCACTGGTTACGGGTTTCGTCTCCATTGTTTGGTGATGTTTTTAGAGGTAAAAGCATCAGATATAGACATGTCTACAGTCAACCTCGTCTTACATAACTCGGTGGTCTCGCCGAAGATCTTGTGAAAACATTTTGTCATAGTGACCATATCATATATTCAAGCACCTATGAATCAGACAATTCAATAAGATGGGACCAAACATACTCCCACGCGCTCATTCAAAAGCATGGTTTTAATGTCGAATCTCTTAGTTTTGGACCCCTGAATTCGCTACCTACAAACGAGACTGTATACGTCGATGACTACATGATGCTACAAAGCCGGTAGATAGTACTGATATAGCTTCCGAGTCTCACTGGTCGACACGTGGTTTCAGTTTGTTTCAATGCGGTGGATCCCAGAATCAAAAGCAGACGAACCAAAAAACGAGTCCACTGAGGGAAATCGTGCTGCGAATGTGGGCGATTTTCGTCATTTCCATCTGGGAATTGCGGTACAGCGCTTCACAGACAACGGAGGATAAATGCGACCATGTATGTTTTGTCATTCTTTCATCCTCGCCGAGTGATCCGGGACTCTCCATGAGGCTGCATTTAAAATGCCGCATCATTTACAAACACATACATGTTCGTTCAGCTTAGGGCGAATGTGTTGAATAGAGTATGGTCTTCGATATACTGCTTTTGTTCACTGTTTTGACTTATTACTCACAAAGTCACATAAATATTCGAATATCACGGTTTAAGCTGTCTAGGGCTACTCTGTGCCGACCTGCGTGCTCATTTTAGACGTTCCCGTTCTCTGGACCCAATAGCTACCGAAGATGCAAAGCTTCACGAACACAAGGAAACGTGAGTAGTTTCACATTAACTGCTGTTTTGCACCACTGTTTTTCCGTTTGCGTTGTACATTATCTGGCTTCTTGTTTGGTATTCACCATACTATTCGCCACAACGTACACAGTTGATGATTTTTATGCACACACAGTTGATTTGAACCTTTCAATGAGGGGTTGACACTGGATATAGTTGTCTAACTATCAAGTGGTGTTAAAAACTTGTCAATATTCCTATCTCCATTGGTGCCATCATTGCGCAATGAAGAGACTGGACCCTAACGTGATGTGACAGCTTGTCGTGAGCGTCATGACCCACTGCGTTATATCAGGTGTGTTTGCGCAACCCCGGTCAGAGTAATTAACGGTTTCAAGTTTACTTATCACAACTGCTCGGCTTTTCAGGGTGGAGATCGAAAGATTTATAGGCACTTTTTCTTCAAAAATTAGATCACTCAAGTAGCCGCATGCCAACCATCGCTGGGCTAAGATCAGTCTTTCAAGCCAATGGCGATTGGCGTCCCCTTGCTTAGTGTGCCTCTGGGATGTAGTCATGAGACTTTCCAAAATTTCGGTCCTCAAAGACTCGAAGTATTATACACTGATGCATAAGAGGAATATCCAAATTACGATGCACCGATATGGTATCCAGTCGTAGCGTTCAGGACCACTGTTATAATATTCCATACTTATCTAAGCTGATCCAGCTACACATGCTACAGTACCCGGGACATGTCCTCCGCAAACCAGACTCCGGACTCTTCAAACTCTTCAACTTGCCACCTCTCTGTTAAAAATGGCGATATCAACCTGGAGGGCCATTAAAAATCTAGCTATCTACCGATAAGACTAGCGTTGAATTGCTTGGTCTGCAGCCGAGTGGACAGAAACTGAGTTTAGGTGGTCCTAACCGATCCGATGATTTTCCACAGGAAGCCTGCTTTAAATATTCTGACATGCACAATCTCTTGTGGGTTGCATTTCACAGTAGGGTTGTACTAGGCACTCATTTTTCACACACGAAGGTTGGGCGGTTAACTGCTGGATTTGGGTGTTTTCAGCCCATAAATTAGAAATTAGTAAGCGCGTTCCTATAAACCTATAGGTTCAACTAACCCAGATAACAACTTCCCCTCAGTAGTCGCTTTCACTAATCTTACAATAACTTTGAATATGAAGGGTTTTAAGCAGGCCCATATGGCTTCTCTATCAACAGAGGAACAAAGCAAGGTCGGGTTTCCAGGAACTCAATTCTTTGTACTACAAACTCAAACCTAGGAAACGGTTGAAAGCGTTCATACTTGCGGAGTTGCTGATCCGTACCTTCTGACACTGTACCTTTTAGCATTTTGTTTGTTTACTGATACTTGCCTTCAGCGACCATCGCACTCCAAGTCACGACAGTCAATCCTGTGCAATAGCCGTCCGCTCCAAGCGCTAGGTTTTCTCTACCTCATTATGTGAGCATTTTCTGTTCAGAATGCACGTTGTTGACTAAGCATTCTTTCGCTTTCGGGCTCTTCTGTATAGATAGTCTGTTTTGCTGATACCCTACTTTGTACGAAATGGCATGTCTCATTAACTAGCCTTTCCCGGATCATGTTGCGTTAATACCGCTGGTAAATCCAGCAGCGGATATCCGTACAGTGGTAACACTCTTTCTGTGACGTCTACCCAGCCATATAACCTTTGATTTGTACCTACCAAGCTTGGAGCACAATCAGTTTCGTGCTGTTTCATCTGTACTCCCACAAAGCTAGATTATGGAGCATGCAAAATCGTCCTGAACACGGTTATGCACTGATGCGCACTTGCATCGATCCACTTGGCTAACTGATTTACAGATCGAAGTAGAAAAAAGCCGGTGTCGAGATATCGAAACCTAACCAAATGATGACATATCTATCATAGTATTTGGCTTAGTTATGATATACCTCTGCTGTAACCTCTGAATACTGATTCACCCATCACTCAGATATTCACACCCATTACAGAAATCTTTCTCTAACCAGGTACCCATCCGGAGGACGAAGCTTACCATGACTGGTCGCATGCGAATTGAACACGTTGGTGCAAGTAGATGCATTTGATGTTTCCTCCGTGTGCTTAGGTACGAGTGATACGAACATAGTATGTCAACTACACGCACTAGCCTTCCATTGCGTCTACATTTCCTTGGAAGCCTTGCGGAGTTGGATAAATCTCTTAGGGTGATGCGCAACTATTTGCGCTGCACGCCAATATACCAGAACTTTCTAGACACTAAAGGCGTCTTGATTGCAGTCATTTAAATTCATCTTTCTACGTGCCACGGTTTTGTGTTCCTAGAATTTACTTTAAGTATCGCCGCCCTGTGGATTCATTGGGTAGGGGATACGATGGCCGACGAAATTCAGCGAACCCTTCAACTATATTGTGTATACTAGACAAATGAGCAGTTTACTGAGATTGTATAATACATAATTAATTCTACCGAACTTGCTATTTATCTTGCACTTCCCCGTCTCTTTTGACGGATCAATGTAGTACTCGTCTACAGTTCATTCGAATCACGCGCCTTGCTTAGGTGCGAAGTTATTCAAAAGGCAGGGTGTTTTGATTGCTCCTTCCTTATTGTCCATGGTATCTTCTCCGTCAAAAGCGCGATTTTTCCATATGAAATATGACGTTGTTTTTCGTGAAAGCAATAAGCAGAAACTAAGTTTTTTTTATTCAAACTCACTTCTTTGAGACTGAGGTTATCCTCTATTGCCTAATGAAATAAAGTGCCGCTAATTTTACTCTATTTTTAACATTTGCTTGTCTTCATACCCTCGTACAGGTCGTCCAACATAAACCCTGCTTTTCTGAGAGTATTCAATAATGTATCTCGGTAAACTGTGTTCAAGGTTTGTTGAATAAAATGTATTGATCGTGGCGTATCTATGACGTTCAACAAACCATCAGCAACCTTTATTTCTCATGTGACCGATTACTAAATTGGGCGGAATTTGTGGAACTTGTCAAATTACACCCTGATCTGTCCGCTGGATAACGGACATTCAACTGTACGTTCGAAAATTCATCATGTACTGCCAAAAGATATGAATATTTTTCTTTTTGGTATAACTACTTTCCTGTTTCAATCACTTGTCAATCACTTTCAATCAATTGTCACATCTTCGCGATCTGCAATCAATCCATTTTTAAGCACTTTATTCGCACTGGTTGCCTCACTGTCTTACTATATAGACAAGAACAGTATGACGATATTTCGTCATATTTCATCGGCATTCAACAAATCTTTTGGTCGTAGTTGGATGAAATTATCGGCCTATTTTGTGGCGCCTTTTTTCTGCTCACGGTCTGAATACAAATTTTAGTGCGGAATTCAGTAGCAAACATACTTGTCCTGTACATGGTCTGATCGTGTTTTTTCGATGTTGCTCCTCTAAAGGTCAGAATCCTTCTTTTATTGCGAGTTTTTGTTGTGCCCGTCTGCCCACATGATACGGATCTCATCTTTTAAACTTTCTCAAACTTCGACAACATGAAGCCTAGCATGCATCTTTCGATAAACTTTAATGTGTGATATTCCTTTCAGATGCACCAATTTCTGCGCGATACTGGTGTGTTTCTTGTACTATCTTTGGCTGTTTTTGCATCATACGTTCAAAGAACGAGCCACAAAACTCTGGGATGTGGCAGGTATTCCGGAGTATCTACCTTATGGACTACCGTTAAACGCTTCTCACTACACGGGTTAATCCGTCTTTACCTTTTAGTTGAAAGTAGTGTTCAATAGTCCAGTGATCTTGTTTGGCCTGAACATATGAAGCTGACTGAGTTGTTCGCAGATTTCGTTGTTCAACTCACTCGTATAGATCCTCGATCTTTCGCAGCTACGTTCACTCCAACTTGCATACCACCTTCAGGATCGCCCAAAGTGCCCTCATACTCGATTGACTGGCCACACACCTAAACAGTCTTGTGGAGGATGACACTTGTGTCTGCAAGGGCAATCAGGTATGCGTGATGGTCACATATCCTAGAGAGCCTTTGGTCGCTTATTAGCCCATCTTTAGCTGGCGGCCTCCTTATCTGGCTAATAGGGAAGATGGGGAATGTTTCTTGGTGAAGTCAGAGAACTGTTGACTGTATGCACTCATTCCTGCCCAGCTCTGTTTAACTTGAAAAAGCAGGATGTGCCATTTGTAACGATTCCCTCCAAAAAAACTGAGTCAAGGAACAATGGGTTTCATAAGTGAGTGATCGAAACTATAGAGCGCGTTTTGCAACCGTTTGCTAACAATGGGCAGCATTAAAAGTTCACTGATTTTGTGACAAATTTCTCTGACCGAACCAGCTGGCAGCAAAGAGACCCTGGAGCAGCATGTTGATTAAAAAATCGTTCAGTGCCTAGCTGCCATCTCACCCGAAGGAACCACGAGGGCTGGAATACTGCCAGGTTGCCCAAGCCCAGACAACGAAGGTCGAGAGGCAGAGGTCGGGTTTGAACCATGGACCTTCTGATCAGTAAATTCGTGCTCTAATCACTGAGCTCCGACTTTGTGCGAAGCTTGTGATCAACGATTTTCTTCTGGAAAAGGGATATCCAAGCGGACACATTTGCTCATAAGCAATTACACACCACTCAACAGCTTGGTATTTCTCCCGCTCATGGAACCACTTTGTTATTCCCAAACGACGGTTGCCGGGAAGCATGTAGCTCGAATTTGCGTTTCGGTCCCAGTAAGCAAGCCGTAGTATTGGTTGCAACTAAGTGAAGGTTACATTAGTTTTGAATAATGGTGTACCAGGACCACCTGCTCATTTTAGAAATCTCAGAATTGGCTTTTGAGCAGTAGGTAAAACATATTCACTAGCGCACCACTGCCACCACTGAGCGCTGCTATTTTTAACGGTTAACCATAAAAAGACATTTTGGGCTGAGAACAGCTTACAAAGTGAAATATTTTCGTGATATTTTTACCGGTTTACCTTCCCTCTTCCCAACTGAAGTTTCACTCGAATCTCATGTGCTTTGGTCGACTTAATATGGCATGTGCATGATACATGCGAATTTGTGGCTTTAACATTTGTACGAGAGGTACTTAAACAACACTATTGTGAGATTGAACCCTGAGATATTGTTTGTAGATATAAGGTAAAATCACTATGAAATGCTCACCTTTGGGCCCAGACGAACTGATCCTATACCGAATTATCTTGTAAACATGCACCCCTCTCGTTCTCTTACTCTGATGCTTGGGACGTGAGAAAGAAAATCACAGGCAGTACATGATAACCGAGTTCGTCCAAGCGGGGGTACCTCAGCTTCATTTGACTCAATTTAGAACCGGGGATTACCGAGGCTCTTGTCATTTACGGCTCACTTCATATTGTTGGTCGTTAGGCTGAATACAGGTTCCGTGTTAGTTTTGTGACCACTGATTTGTTTTTTGTGGGACGATTGTCAGGGAAAATGGTAGTTCGATACCACGGTAGGAGGACACGCAGTAACATGAGTTGAAACGTTTTATGTTGGACTCTTTTTGAGTTACCCGGAGGATTATATGACGAAACGCGTGTCATTGACAGGATAGCACCGGGCTTGAGTGGAGAAGGCTTCGTTGGTCAAGTAGAGCACAGTTCCGATGATCTTGATCTGAACCGTAGATGGATGACGCATTTAGCCCCACTCGTCATGAACATACACTCACAGCACTGTCTAGTGATGGAACGCCTGAAATCAACGCAGTGAGCATACTAACAGCCACTGACACAACATGAGGTACCACCATTTTCTGGAAGCAAAAGGCTCCGTTTTTTTCCACAACTGTATCTAACAAACTGAGGCAACATAGCTTCTGACACCTTGATGACTGTGATGAAGGTTTGGGTGGCTTTCATCCTTTATGTCCTTGTTCTTTTTTCCAGCTTTGCCGCTCTACTACGACAAGTGAATTCACATGAGAAACATCTGGCTGATGAGTTGCCTCATTCCACAAAGTACTCCACTCCTTCAAGTCAGAGTGCGTCGACTAAGAGAAAAGTCAGTTCTTCAAGTAATTCGGTGAGTAAGCCGTGTAGGATATATATATATATATATATATATATATATATATATATATATTGATGTCTCGTTTTCGTTGGTGTTTTTGTCAACTCAGTGCGGGTAATCGATCGTCGTATGCGTAGAATCCCTATTCGGACCACCTTGAGTTTTATCTAGTCGTCCTGGTGGTGCACTTCGGGTGCAAGCGGATGCTTGTGTTGAATATTGAGAATGTCGGATCCGAATGTAAGTGGGTCGATCGCATAGTTCTCAGTTCTAGGCCAATGGGCCTTGACACTGTTGTTACCACTCAGTTTAGAGCAGACTGAAAATTTCTATATGCCATCAAATATGAATTTCATGCGGATCGCTCCGAGAAACGCTGCTAAGAGGTTGTCTGAATCTCATGAGCTTGCACTTGTTCTGTTTTGCTTAATCATTTTCCAGCGAGAAATACATATCTGTCTTATTCCAATCGCAGTCGCAAATGGGTTGGTTTGGACGCAGACGATGCTAATAGAGAGTGGAGACTTGTGTCCCAATCGAGCTGACGAGCACAAACTTTTGTCAATTTAGACTTCGGATTTTTGGGGGGTCGACACTGTGCTCCATTGCTGACATTTCTGAAATGAGAATGAGATTTTTTGGATCTTTGACAATCCCTGTCGGCCTTCGAGAAAACACTCATTTTTCTCCTTTCTTCCTGATGCCACAGGGATAGGAAGCCAACCACAGCAACTGAGAACTACCCTTTTTTCGTATTTTGACCAGCGATTTTATCCCCAACAGTGGTCTCCTGGTCTCCGTTTCACAGACTTACATCCTACAGTTAGAGGAAGTTTGGGAATTTTCTTTTGTCAGAATGAAACCACCACTAACCGTAGTAGACGACTCGACTCAGCTGATCCGCAGGCCTCATGAAGCTTTTCTCAGTTTAAAGAAATAATTGTGGTTTACATGCGGGACGTACAACCACGACTTTAGTTTAACGCTCCTCTGCAATCATCCGTTGGATAGAGTATCCAGATGTCCAGCTCTTTCTTCTTGTATTGTCTCCGTCAGTTTCCTCCTGGAATCGGGTGCTGAACAATAAATTGCACGATTTTTCGACTGTTTTGATCATCCAAGGTTTGAGTTGTCTCCCTGAATTTCAGCTGTGGAAGGAAAAAGCGTTTTCACTTATCAATACGACTAAGTTGAAAGTTCATCGTCATCGTCATCATCATCATCGACGGCATGACATCAGTGTTCAACGTTATGGTTTCACTGCCGTACAACCGTGATTGTGAAGAAAAGTATAAAGGTGGCCGGGGAAGGGACTTCTACGATCATTCCGAGATGCCTACACCCCCAAACATTCACTGGGGCGATCTGGATAGAAACTGACAACAAGAACACCTGAAGCGCCTCAGTTCCGCTGCTCGAATAGGCCAAGTCTCAGCCATACAGCAAAACAGCCCGCACTGTAGCTTGATACACACGTCCCTTGAGATTCAGGGATAAACCACTCTGACGTCATAGGTGTCTCAAATTAGCAAACGCGGCCCGAGCCTTGCAGATTCGTGCATTCACCTCATCTGTCACACTACAATCGGAACCCATATAACTTCCAAGATATGTAAAATGCTCCACAACTTCCAGTACCTCCCCCTGGATTGTAAGTGGAGTGTTCACTGACTGCATGTCCAGGAGCACGACCTAATGCTTTGTGTGTGCAAAGTGCATATTAAAGGACTAGATGCCTTTGGTCAGTTCTTCCAAGATCTCTCGCGCCTTCTCCTCCTCTTCAAAGATGCGAACGATGTCGTCTGCATATTCCAGATTGGCAAGGTTTTCGTTACACAAGGGTTTTGAAGAGCTTCCAGCGTTCGAATCATCATTTCACCATTCACGAAGTTTAATAGGGATAGAGAGAGTGGGCATGCACGATGGACACCGCTCTGTGTACGGAAGCTTTTGGAGAGCTCTTCTTATACTGTCACGTCCGGAAGTGGTATAATGCGAGGAAGCTATTATGTTCACAAACTTCCGGTAGCATTCCTGGGGTGGGTAAGAGAGTCAAGAAGAACGGATCAGCCAGGCGAGTCAAATACGCCTTGAAAATCCAGAAATGCTAGAATTGTAGGTCGTTTATACGAATAGGGTTGTTCTAGCATCTGACAAAGTGTTGATCAACGCAACCCCTACCGTGCCGTAACCTAGTTTTCTGCTCTTGAACTGATGTTTCGCGAGCCATAATAAGGCGACGAAGAAAAAGTGATGCTATCATTTCGTTACAAGCGGGGTTAAGCTGATTCCCCTGTCATTACTATACTCACTTTGAGCCCCTTTTTTGTACATGACCATTAT